CGTGAGCGTCTTGTAGTCCATAAAATGATGAAGTCACGACCTACAGAAAGTGGGCTAACTCACGGAATGTCAACCGAAATTCCGAAATGCGTTCTCGTTTCGAAAAGATTAATTACTTAGGGTTGTAAAACTAATTAACATGTAGCATAATGCTATGATGATCCAGTTACCTAAGGGTCCTGGCTTTCGAACGAACTTATTACCGACATGCAAGAAATATACACCGCAAAAATGACCACTGATGTAGCATGCAATTTTCTCATTAATTTTCGGTGTCCCTAAAAGTTCAGTTATATTTCATGGAAAACACGCATAAAAGTATTAATTCTTTCATTTGGTAGAAAAGCACGTCTTCCTCCAATTCTATACTCGAAGGAAGAGTATAATTCGGTTTTAACAACTTTTCTAATTCCCGAATAGTTTTGAATCCAACCTGCTGTTATACTTGCATCCAGGGTTTACGAACTAGAAGCCGTATATTTTCGCGTACGGAAGACCATACACTTCTCTACGATATTAGAGGGGATTTTATTGGGTTCATAAAATGTAGCAGTGGACTTAAGCCGTATTGTTAACTTTACAAGCCACATTGGTAAATGCAGAGACATGACTTTTTATGAACGGCCATTTCACGGTACTAAAAAATCGCACAATTGTAAACGTTTTTGAAACCGAAAGAAAACGTAATTTTCTACCGAATAAATAAAAGAATGAATATTTTTATGCATGTTTTTACGAAATATAATTAAATACTTAAGGGCGTCGAAACTCAATGAGAAAAGTGCGTGCTACTTAAGTAGCCATTTTTTGCGGAGTTTAGTTTTTCCGTACAGTCAGGAATAAGTTATGTCGGAAGAAGACTGAGGTAACTGGATAATTATTGAATTATGCTGGACGGTGATTAGTTTTACAACCGTACTTAATTAATCTTTTCGAAACGAAAACGCATTTCGAAATTTCGGTTGACATTCCATGAGTTAGCCCACCTACTGTACAGGGCCGTGTCTAAAACGTTTAACGGTCAAAGGTACTACTGCGCGTCTCAATCGGCGAGTTTCTTGGAGAAGGCCAAAGGCCGGGTCAAACCAACAATATGTTGCTGAAGGACTGTGCCCACGGCAACGGTTGAAGCCTCAACCACGAGGGGCGGCGAAGCTTCGAGAGCGGGATGCGTGAGCATGGTAGCGTCAGCGAGGGAAGCCTTGATTCTCTCGAAAGTAGTAAGTGCCTCACCAGAAAGCTCGAGGAGACCTCTCAGACGGGAAAGCACATTAGTGAGCGGCAGCATAGCGTCAGTACCGTTTGGTGGAAACCGGCGTTAAAAGTTGACCATGCCAAGGAAACGTTGCAACCGTCGCTTAGGGGTTGGTGGAGAGAAATCACGAATGGCTTTGAACTNGAGGGAAGCAAAGATTTGGAATCGACATAATGGCCACGTAATGGGCAACCATTTTGCCAATTCATCTGCCTCTTTCTGATGCAGTTGACGTGAAAAATGTTGATTCGTTCCTCTTAGTCCTCTCAGACATTCACCGCTTTCGCCTCAACCAAAAGCATTGTCGGGAGAACAGTAAAGTACACCCTCAGTTTTGTATCGCGTAGGATACCGCAGTGGTCCCTGACGGGGTGTTTTGGTCGACGACCTGCCCGGTTAGCTTCGGAGCTCCTGCATACTTGCCATTTCGTCGATCTAAATGTTCCTTGAAATTGTACTCCCTGTGTACGCGACTTTGTTCAGTGGCGTGAGGCGAGTTTCCCTGATACTGATAGGGGGTTCGGTGTGGTCAGCAGATGACGTCGATTAGTGCAGGACCAATGTCTTCTACGTGTTAGCGGTTAGTCTGAGGCTTAAGCGACTTGGGCCAAGGAGTACGCATTTGGACCCCAAATTTCGGCGAGCGCTGCTGTACGTCAAGAACGCTTCGGAAGCCGTCGGCCACATCGCGTCACTTGGGGTTGGAGTTGCACACAGACCGGAGGCAACCATCAGGCGTCAGGTAATGGAACCCAAAAATCCGCCGCCACGAAAAGAAACGTCTGGAGGCGTTAACCGGACCTGGTGCAATTCCGGACCGAACAACTACGTTGGAGAAACCGGATGATCCCTCTGAACGCGAATGGCCGAACATGCTGCAGCAGTGTGGAGAAATGACGCCAACTCTCAAGTTGCTGCTTATTCGACGAGATCCGGCCACATTAAAATTCGTCGAGGCCAAAATTCTCGCTAGAGGTGTTAGTCGCGTGAGTCGGCATCTGCTTGAGTCATCGTTCACGCCCCCAGTTTAATGACAAGCGTAATGACCTTCCCCTTCCATATTCTGTGCCTAGGCGGAATAATTAGTCACGCGGGAAGCGCTTAGGTGAACACTATTCCCAACGCCAGGATTGGTGGGACAGATGGCCGAACAATCATCCCAACAACATCCGACACCCGTGATGAAAATGTAACGATTAACTACTCGAATGTCAGCCATCGGCCAGTCATCACACCAAGTGCAACGAACCCCGATGAAGGGTGAGGGTCGTGAATTCTCGTGGCATGATGGCTGAATCCTATAAATACCGCAGCCGCTTGTGCATGAAATACCCGTGTTTGTTTTTGTCTTCGAGGATGGCTTCGAGTGGTTGTGTCTCCTTCCTTACGGGTTAACATTCATCCGAGATCAATGGGTTGTGGAAGATGGCCTTGGATACTCTCGAAAAGGCTTTTGTGCGACGGCTTTTGAGCAGTTTTCTGTCGGTCCGGTAATTTATATATATATCCCTCGACGCCCTTCACAGTAGGCGTCCATCAGTATGGCGGAGAACATAAAAACGGATGAGTTCAGAGTGCGCACGCTGCCCTGCTTCCCCACACTGGTCACCGCGAATGCTTCAGAGCATGCCGTATTGTTCGTAACGCCCAATCCTGCCGTTGTTTGTCCATTTTGCCATTCGTGTTAATCGCTCCGAAAATCCGAATTTCGGCATTTTTGTCCGGGAGCTATCGTGATTTACGGGTCTAAAGCCTTTGGAAGTACTACTGGCACTTCTTCTTCTACAGTCGGTGGGCCGCAAAGATCTTGTCTTTTAAAGAAAAGAAGGCGTTCACCGGGAGAGGAGATGCCGGCTGTTGTCTACCGACTTCAGTGCAGCTGCAAAATGTGCAACTACGTTGGGGAAACCGGCCGACGACTGTAAACGCGCATGCACGAGCATAAGTCGGTCGTGCGAAGGTTGGACCCGAAGTCGGAGAGAGCAACCCATGCCGCCCAAATGGGACACGTCTTCAACTTTGACACCGTTGAAATTGTGGGCCGAGGTGATGATCATACGGCAAGGCAGGTGCAAGAAGTCTGGATGTCTACCGGCTGTTCTGTCAACCGCCACGTCAATTTGCCTGCCCCCTCTCTGACTTTACGAACCTTCTTGACGGGGCACAGTCACGGCGCAGGACAATCGGGGCCGTCAACTATCGTGCAGTCGACGAAGATGAGCGGGATTCAGCTCACGGTGACACGCGGGTCGGATGCAGCCACACAGGTGGCATTGGTGGGCCAGGCATCAAACAAAGTGCGGCATATAAGGAGAGCTGGGTGCATGACTTCTCAGTCTCTGAAGATGGGTAGAAGGAACGACTATTCGAAACGTCAGGCCTCCAATACACCTCTCCTGGTGAACGCCTCCTTTTCTTTTCATATGCCACCGGGGAATCGCATTTTCACTACTATTGATCTTGTCTTTGGTTCTGCGGAGTTTTCAAAATCCACTGTGAGTCTCTGGAAGAAGTCCCCGCTTCAGATGCTTGCTCAGGCGATTGTGCAGCAAACGAACTAGGAGTTTATCTGCGATGTTGCGGAGGGAGCTGCCTCTGTAACTACTGTAGCTAAGGTAATTCCACTTGCGTTTATAAATGTGCACGAAAGTGGTTGCCTTCGAAGTCCTGGGTGATGCGTCCTTGTCGCAACATCTGAGACAGCAAGTTAAGCTCTTCCATGATTATTGGGCCTCCCTACTTGTAGACTTCAGCTAGGTTTATGTCGGCTTCCAACACGTTTATACTGGGTAGATGTTACACTGCTCTGACTATCACAGGGTAGGAAGGAGGGTGACCTAGTTCATCGTTGGTGTCCACTTGAAACCGCTTGATAGCTTCTTGCATACTGTGGACGGGTAGTTGAGAGCACCCTGAACGTGGTCGAGATAGTAATAATTTCACAGCAACTTCCATCACCTGACCTCCAAACACAAACTCGCCTGCCAATCCTGATCACTATAATCCGTGACTCATCCGTATAATCTTATCTGTTCCATTGGGACGAAAGCCAAATGCACATTCATATAACCCTGTAGAATATAAAGGGGACCAGCTCTTAACGGACGGAATTACTATCGCTAGGCTATTAAAGCCAATCGCATAAGAACGAGCATATGAACCATAAGTTGGTGGTGTGTGTATTTCTTGTACTTGTCCATAAGCATACTTAGCACACTAAAACGGAGCACTCTGCGTCGCTAAATTCTAAGCTAAGTACATTCATTGACGGTTTTCGTTCAGCCACCGTGTATTTGGTGTTATTATTGCGCTGCCTTCAAACAATCTACATAGAGTAGATGTGCTAACTCATGAAATGTCAACCAAAATTTCGAAATGCGTTCTCCTTTCGAAAAGATAAATTAAGTAGTTTTGTAAAACTAATCATGATGCAGCATAAATCTATAATGATTAAGTTACCTCAGGGTGTCGGCTTTCGAAAGAACTTACTTTCGGCTGCATGCAAGATCTATATTCTGCAAAAAATGACTACTTAAGTGGCATGCAATTTTCTCATTGATTTTTGATGCCCTTGAAAATTCAATTAGATTTCATGGAAAACATGCATAAAAATATTCATTCTTTTACTTATTCGGTAGAAAATAACGTCTTCTTCCCATTTCATATTCAAAAGAAGAGTATAATTCGGTTCTAAAAACTTTTCTAATTCCCGAATAATTTTGAACCCGACCTGCTGTTACACTTGCATTCAGGGTTTCAAAACTACAAGCAGTATATTTTCCGTGTACGAAAACCATACATTTCTCTACGGGTTAAGAGGAGACCATATGAGGTTCATAAAATTAAACAGTAGATTTGAGCAATATTGTTAACTTTACAAGCCACATTCGTAAATGCAGATACAGGACGTTTCATGAACGGCCATTTAACGGTACTAAAAATCTCACAATTAGAAACTTTTTTAAAACTGAATTATACTCTTTTTTGAGTATGAAATTTGATGAAGACGTGATTTTCTACCGAATAAGTAAAAGAATGAATATTTTTATGCATGTTTTCCATGAAATATAATTGAATTTTCAAGGGCATCAAAAATCAATGAGAAAATTGCATGCCACTTAAGTAGTCATTTTTTGCAGAGTATAGATCTTGCATGCAGCCGAAAGTAAGTTCTTTCGAAAGCCGACACCCTGAGGTAACTTAATCATTATAGATTTATGCTGCGTCATGATTAGTTTAACAAAACTACTTAATTTATCTTTTCGAAAGGAGAACGCATTTCGAAATTTTGGTTGACATTTCATGAGTTAGCACATCTACATATGTAGTATATGTTGAAGACTGTAGTCCACCTTTGCGTTTCAAGGCGGAGAATGCGGACTGACTATAACGCATGCGTTACGATAGCCTTCTCGTGATCTCGAAAAGTTATTGCAACAGAACGACGGCTATCCGGAATCTGCAGATGATCACCCATTGCATCGTATCTTCTCAATTATCGAGCAACGGTAGTTCTGGGATCATTTAAACGCCGGAATATCTCTTGATTTACCTGCCTTCGACATACGTACTGCATACGATGCTTCCCTTTCCCTTTTCGAGGGCACCGAAAGAGTAACTGTCCGTGGAGGGAACAAAGCACAGCTCCCTTAACCTGGACGGGCTCTTCAGTGCGCACCATTGGCTATCGCTACGTGCTGAACCCCCACGCCCCCTATATGGGACATAATTGCTCTTTTAGGGTAATTTGAGCCATCCAGTGGGACAGTCGGTGAATTCACTTCTTTGGCTAACAGTGCAGATGACTGCCTAAGCATAAAGGCGTCTCGTTTCTTATGGTAACTAAGCGGCGTCCTTTCATCTGTCTTGCGCTTACAATATTAACGCAAACAGCCTAGACTGGCTCTTTTGCTTTTTACCGACTCGACATGCCGAGACTTGGTCTAGAAAGGCTCACTTTTTGCGATGTGTGTGGAGAGTATCACAAACCGATTTCACCGTATAAAATCCACTTAATGAAGACAGAAATCCGT